ATGGTTGGTTTAGAAGGTACTGATTTATTTTGTTATGATTTTAGTGATGCTCTTAGTAAATTTCTTCAAAGTAAAAACAGAAGAATAAAATAAAAGAAAATTCTTAAAATTTTAGCACCAAGAAATTTCCTTTTTTTAAATTTTTCTTCCAGAAAATTCTTAGCATTCAGGAGGAATTTCCGTTTTTTTTTCAGACCCTATTTCCGGCCCTGGTTATTAGCTGAAATTGGGCGAAATTACTTTAAGTTAAATAAGTTGATTGGTATAGTTTTTAATTGTTCATGTTTTATAAAAAATGCCGAGAAGCCCAAATTGCCCAAACTAGTTTGTGCTTTGAGAAAACAGTTTGGACCGGAAACCTTAGTTTACTATCTAAATTGGTAATTTTATTTCTATAACCAGAAGGTAACGCTGAAATCTATTACCAAATTTAGAAATTATGTATGTCGGCTGACATCACTAACTTTCCAAATTTATTAAATTAATTTAAAATTTTGTATCACACAGATCACGAGCAAATTTTTTTTTATTCCTTTTCCCTATAGTACGGAGTGTAACATTACGCATCAATTAACACAAGGAATGGAAGTAATTAGATAGGTGGGTAACTTGGTCAGAATCTCGGAAACTCAGATTCTTGTTACACAACAGAAATTAAAAGTGAATCAAAAAAATTACATATAAATATCTTAATAAACCATTCTTTATTTCTTTATGGGATAAATTCTACCTTATATTTTAAAATACTTGTAAAACTATTTAAAAATTATAAATCAATAAATTACAATAATAAAAATAAATAATTCGTTTGATAATTATTTAATAAATTAATATTATTAAGAATAATAATATAATAATATCTTGTTACTTGGTGAGGACGCATCAACTCAATCATCTAAAATAATCATACTATTCCATCAAAAATGTCCCAAAAACAACAAATTCTTGATAAACAACTACAAAATTATTATTATGATGGACATTCTGTTCGGCAATTTCAGCAAGTACAACATTCGCAGGTTCAAAATTCCGAACAGCGACAAATTTATGCGCAACAAATTAATAATCCAACCCAGCAAATTTTTCAACAACAAATTCAACAAACTCAACAAACTCCAAATATTGATCAAGAAATCATTCCATTCGATAATTCATTATCAATTATTGCAACAAGTCCACCATTTCAAAAAGTGACTGGTATCAATAACAATAATGACATGCTATCAGCGCAATCTTTACCACAACAACCCCACCAATTAGTTTATGTTAAAAGTAGCTCGCATACATCGTCTTCACCTTCGACTAATAACGATATTAGTAATAATTGTCATCAATATAATCGCGATTTAAATTTAAATGTTTCTACATTAAATTGTGGAAACAACAATAATGACCTCTTTTCATTGATGATCCATCATATCACAGCAATTAAAGACCATAGGATGAAGATTAGTCAACATATTTTTGAGTTGGAACAAGTCATCAATATGTTAAGACATATTGATGATCAAAATAGAAAATAATTATCATTTTATTATTGCTATTTATATATTTTTTATTTTTTTTTATTAAGCAATATTAAATAATCATACGCAAAGAAGAAAATGTATTTATTATTCTATTTATAGTTGATTAAATACTTAAATCGTTAAGCACAATACACTCTCTTTATTTATATTTTATTATTGGGCTTTTTTTTTTGGTAATCATCATGATAGAACACATTCATTTGAAAATTTATTAATAAAATTTCGAATTGAACATTGTTTTATACCCTGTATTTTACAATATATTTTTCTTGCCTTTAATAATGAAAGAAAAGAAAATCTTAGAGCTGAATGTTTTAAGTGAAATATTCGAAAGCTTATCCACTTGGTTGTCACATATACTTGGTTGCCTACAAAATTCAAAACCATAATTTATTTTGCTATAGATTTAAAATTGTTTTATTAGCTTGGTATCTTTGGTATATATAGCTTTATTTACTTGATATATGATTAATGATTAATTCGTGATCCGCAACACAATTAGTAATCACTGTTACAATGACCAACTTCCAAATTTTTTTTACTAGTATTACACAGAATATTAAATCATACGATGCAAATTTTTATTATTGTTTTCTTTACAAGCTTTGGACTGCTATTTAGTAACCGTAGATTTCAAAGAATTTTTATTATGTCATTCATTGT